GGTCATAAAACTGTTGTGTAGATAGGAGCTAAACCAGTTGAAAAGGGGACCAACAATATTGATTTCCTTCAGCTTTATGAGAAGTTTAGAATGACACACCTTGTCAAACGTTTTAGATAAATCGATATAGAGTACATCCACGGATTTCTTATAATTTAGGGCTAAAATCCAGTCATAGGTACTATCAGCTAGGTTTGTTGTGGTAGAAGCACCATTGATGAAGCCATGCTGCTCAGCTGGGATCAGATGTAATTTATTCAGCCTTGCCAGCAACCTACCTCGTATGATTCTTTCCATAACCTTAGCCGATGCTAGTAAAAGACTGATAGGTCGAAAATCACTGACTAACTTGGCTCCTTGTATCTTTGGGATGGCAGTGACAAGGGCATGCTTCCATGAATCTGGCACCTCACCCAACATCATGGAAACATTGAAAATGTGAGCTAGTGGGGTAGATAAAGCAGATGCGCATTTTTTATAGATAATTTGTGGAATGTCATCATAAGTTTCCGTGGTAGATAGCTTCAAACGCTTTAGATAAATCGATATAGAGTACATCCACGAATTTCTTATAATTTAGGGCTAAAATCCAGTCATAGGTACTATCAGCTAGGTTTGTTGTGGTAGAAGCACCATTGATGAAGCCATGCTGCTCAGCTGGGATCAGATGTAATTTATTCAGCCTTGCCAGCAACCCACCTCGTATGATTCTTTCCATAACCTTAGCCGATGCTGGTAAAAGACTGATAGGTCGAAAATCACTGACTAACTTGGCTCCTTGTATCTTTGGGATGGCAGTGACAAGGGCACGCTTCCATGAATCTGGCACCTCACCCAACATCATGGAAACATTAAAAATGTGAGCTAGTGGGGTAGATAAAGCAGGTGCGCATTTTTTATAGATAATTTGTGGAATGCCATCATAAGTTTCCGTGGTAGATAGCTTTAACTTCTTGAGAAACTTGAAGACCTCGGATGGTTCAAAGTACACTGTCATAGAATGGTTGCCGGGCGTTACAGAGCTACTGAATGCAGAAAAATTATAGTCATCATCTTTGTTGTATACGCTGGCAAAATATGCACCAAGAACCCTGGCTTTATCCGCATCATCATAGTAGCTAAAGCCAGAATGATCTTCAAGAGTAGGGAGAGTAGCACTAACTTTCATTTTGGTATTTATATATCTATACAAATTTCGAGCAGATGCTTTAGATGCAAGGCGACGCTCTCGATTGGCTAAATACTTTTGCATATGGAAATCAATGTCATGACACACTTTTTTATACAGGGTGTCCCAAAAAAAATGTTTCGAACGTTTGATCGTTAATATCTCTCTTCCCAAGAAGTCTTTTGCCTTGCTTCAGGTACCGTTTTGTAGAGCTGGCTTCAACTTAGTTTTGCATTAGAGAACGAATCACCCAACTCTCTTCATTACTGTAGTATTACGGTAGAAACTTGAAACATGTGGTGTCAATGTGAAAAAAAGCTGCCGTTTCAAAATTTTTCAAATAATTGTGAAAACTTGTGTAATAGGGTTTTTATGGACGCTGAGTCCAATACTCAACTGTTCACAAGGTTATGAAGTTTTCTAAACGGTGTAATCGCACTTTTTAGGAACATTGAAAAAATGGCCGCTACCTCTTACCCGGCATATCTCTTCAATGAAGCATCATAGAAAGTTGGGAACTTTACAGTTAGAATCAACAACTCTAATTAACCTAGTGTGAAAGTTTTCAAGCTGTTTTGTCTTCTTTCTGAAGCAAAATACGGCCTTTCATGGCCCAAAACCCTCTTTCAAGTTTCTACCGTAATCCTACAGTAATGAAGAGAGATGGGTGATTCGTTCTATAATGGAAATTTAAGTTGAAGCCAGCTCTACAAAACGGTACCTGAGGCAAGGCAAAAGACTTCTTGGGAAGAGCGATATTAACGATCAAACGTTCGAAACATTTTTTTGGGACACCCTGTATATAGGACTGTGTAGCGGATCATTCAATCTGTCGAAAAGCCTGCATTTTTGCATGTTAAGTGCATTAATGTGAGGAGGGAGTTTCATGAGTGTGTCGCTGGGATGTTTCATAGTAACGAACATGCTAAGGGCAGAATAAATTATCCTACAAAATCTAAGGTAAAGTTCTGAGCATGATTCATATTGATCAAATTCCGCAAGCCAGTCCACTCTAGAAAGAAAATTATTCAGTGCAAAGTAGTCAACTCTATGAAAGTCAGGTAAGGGTATAGATGGCAAACCCATGGTCGCAGGCCCTCCACACTCAAACTGAACCATATCATGATCAGAGGAGCCAAGAGGTGGGAGTATACAAAGATTAGAAATTCGTGCGTCAGAGGAGAGGACTAGATCAAGGACATGGTCACTGTGCGTAGGATGCGAGACATATTGTTTGAAATCATTATGTTGAAAATAATTAAGAAATGACAAGGATGCACTATTACTGGCTTTCATAGTGACCCAATCGATTTGCAGATTGAAGTCACCTAGAATAATCGCGTCATCATGATTAGAAGCATATGTATAAGAACTAATCACATTCATCAGTTTATCATCATCATCTTTACTAGAGCTAGGTGGGTAGTATATCGCGATAAATCGTAAGCGTAAAGATTGTGGATGGATAATAGTGACAATTAACACATCTGCTAGCAAAGATACTTCAACATTAGTGCACTTAGATACTATGTTACTCTTTACCAGGCAACAGACACCACCACCTTTTCGGTTATTTCTGTCACTTCTGTACAGCACATAGGGCATACCACCCACAACCTCAGAATCAAGTGTATTTATATTAAGCCAAGTTTCAGTAATGAAAGGTAAATCAGGTTTGTATTCATGGACAAAAGCGTGCAAGCAGTTCAATTTATTTCTTAGACTCCATGCGTTAAAAAGGATCATTTGTAATGAATCAGTTCTACCATACCTGTTCAAACGTTTCTCGAGCTTCTGCGAGGAAGCTTAGAAACGCGAACTAACTCATCGAGATATATCACCCACTCCTTGGTAGCCATGCCCTTGTTACGTTCGCGAGCTTGTTGCCGGAGTTCGTAATTGCGGGCCCTTTCCTCTGCCGTCATGCTCTTTCTAACGTAGATGTTAGAATAGCCATTGCTTCTGAGTAATCGTGAATTTGACAATGCAAGCCGCCAATAGTATCGAGAGGGAAACACAACTTTAACCAGCCTGGAGACGGATTAGGTTTTCCCAAACGGTACAATTCGACAGGCCTGCATTCAACTTTTAACACATCCAGTATTTCCCCAACGGTGCTTTCCAGTTGGACGCAAAGTTGATGGAAGGGAAGCTGTTCATTTGCTTCAGGAATGCCGCTTATTACAATACTTCGATTATGTTTCTCGGCTTCTAGATCACAATGAGCCGCCATAGGTATTTTCTCACACAGAGCACAAAGTAATCTGTCGATTACGGGGTCACTGTTTCTGTCCCTGATGCTGGTTATCAAATCCGCAACAGATAGATTTTAAACCTCAGCATCGCACGTCTGACTTCCCGCATCAACAGATTTTGTGGCTGATCCGGTCCTAGATGCAAGCTTTTTTAGAGATTTTGGTGCCATTTGATTTTTTTTGCTTATTGGTAGCACTGAATTTTCACAAAAAACCACCAAAAATTTCAAAAAACTTCAAGGACTATATCAAAGAAAACAAAGTCGGTAGCCACTAGAAAACACAAAGCAATAATATAAAATCAAACGTCTCACCTGAAAGGGAGAATGATGGCGGAACAGCAACGTAAGTGAACTGTGAGAGAAAATAAGAGCGGCCGCTCAGCGTGGAAGCACAAACGTGAATGCAATCTTATAACCGAAATCTGCCACTTAAAGTGATTGGTATCACATTTTAGCTTTTTCGGGCTTTCGCATCCGAAAAGTTTTTCCTTCCCAGCAGCAGTACCATTCCAAGAATTACCAAGAATTTATGTTTCAGTTCTACAATTCTTCAATGAAGAGAAACCGGTGTTTTGTGCACGATGCGAATACCAATTTTTTGAAGTGATGTCATCTTTTCGACAAACCCACTTGCAAACTTTGGTTCGAATGCAAAGGATTCAACAAAGCTACACTGTTGCAAAGTTAGGCTGAAAGACTTTGCGACACCCTGTACATATTTCTTCGAGGCCACTGCAACTTGCTATCCTCCGCTTATAAGTTCCGAAAATGAGGTGCGAACTCGTTTTTGTCAAAATATGTAGTTTGAACAAAGAAAATGGTCACAAATTCCCTTTGATCTTTTACCTGAGACATTCTCATTTTATCATGTTCAAACATGTAAGGGTACTTCAAACCGTCTCCCTGTCAAAACATGTCGTCTCTGGCCCGAAGGACACAGTTAGCAATAAATTTTGTCCTAGCAAAAGTTCTTTTAGCAATGAAAAACTTTATGCACCGCTAAGACGTCACAGCGTGCTCTAAATAAACGTCACTGTATATCAAGCTGGCAAAGGTAGAATTTACCTTGAGGCAAAATTTACCTCAAGGTAAAATTTACCTCAGGTTTGATGATGAATACGGCTTCAGGTATGGTGACATAGAAACATTGCATTGCAACAAACAAGCAGAAGATGTACTTTATTATTTAGACTACGCGCATTAAACAAAAAGATTTTCAATTTGCTACGTTGGTCAACATTCATAAAACAGTTCGACAAAAAGGATTCAACCAAGCATGATTTCAGTTTTTTGGTGGCAAACTTTTGATTTTAGGAATATCCGTCGCTTTTACCACCTGTCCTCTAAAGACTACGTAAACCCTGTTTCCGTTCTGATCTCTCATATTCAGTCTACGTGCTTGCTCCCGCAGCTCCCGATCCTGGTTCCTTTCCTCGCGAGTCTTGGATTTGCGAATGAAAATGTTCTCAAGACCGGTGTGCTGCGGAGACGAGGAGCTTTTTTTAGCGCCTCGAAAGAAAAAGTGTGATGGAAACACACATTTTATCAAGCGAGATCTGCCTTCACTGGGTTTACCTAGTCTGTAGATTTCAGTAAGCTTTGCTTCGATATCCAATTTGTCAAGAACACCGATATGACAGATTTCTCCGTATGTGCTTGACGTTCGGATGCGATACCATTGTTAAGTTCCGGCACCCCAGATATAACAATGGAGCGGGATCGTTTTTTATTGATCAGAAGCTCTAGACTGGCCGATTGTCTGACCAAGTTCAACAAACGATTAAGAAGCGGCAAAGCTTCAGGAGCTTTATCCGCCAAAATCGTATGCAGCTTGGTCAGAAGCATACCTTCTTCGCGTTGTTCTCTGCTTTCTGCTTCGATAGAAGGTGCTTCGGCGGGTCCAGAAACATCCTTTCCCTTCTTAACTTGCGCAAGTCGACGTTTTGAGACCATAGTAAATATACACGGCCGCTCAGAATGAGTTCACAGATGAAAGTATAAGCTGCGTAAGTGGACCGACTGAAAGAATATCTTGGTTTTTGAATAAGATTGTAAGCCAGCTCCTAGCCAAGGTACTTGCGCATTTGTCCAACACTCAGCAATTTGTACAGCAGCTGCGGAGCATGAGTTTAGAACCTGGTAGTATTGTCGAGTCTTCTGACGTAACGTCACTATACACCAATGTTCAAAACAATGACGCTTTACAAGCAACCTTTGGCTTGAGCAAAGCGTGCATACTGTTCCTCATAAAAGGATGCTTAAGTTGTAACATATTTAAGTGGTCGGGGAATTACTAGTCTTAGACCAGAGGACTTGCGATGGGCCAGAGGCTCGCTCCAGTTTTCGCGATTTGTTACATGAGTAAGACTGAAAAGCCAGTATTAGCGCGCTTGCCATTGATGTACTGCCGATACAAAGATGACCGCTGCATTGTGACGTCAACACAATCCGGGATGAGTGCTTTAGAATTCTAAATCAGCAGTCGCAAGACATTAAGCTTACACGCGAGACTCCGCACAGTAGATGGCTTTCCTTTCTAAACACCCAGATAAACTTGTCTGACGGTACTGTTCGAATTAAATGGTACCGAAAGGAAAGCTCTAAGAACATACTTGTCTACGTTACATCAGCACATCCTGCGGCTCTAAAACGTTCCGTTATTCGCAATATGTACAAAACCGCCATAGAAATGTGCATGGGTGAAGACGAAAAGTAGAGTCGCGACAGTTGGCATTCAAAATTGCTCGCAGTAATGGCTACGAAATTGCGCGATCTCGACAGCGAACATCTACACGACCCGAAAAATGTAACCTTACGCGAAGCAATAACAGTGACAACAAGTTCTCTCCCTGTATGCCATTTGTCTCCGATAGTTTCAGCAAAGCGGTTAGCAGATGCATAGTACGAGCACAGTTGGAAAATGAGGTGATACTGGTCAACATTCCTAGTAGTAACATCAGAAAGCGGTTGATCAGAAACAGAATGTACGACGTAGAATGTTTGTCAGAAAACTGTATCGTCTGCCCCTTATGGGAAACCAAGTGACTGCGCGAAGGAGGGTATTGTTTATCAGCTGGAATACTTGAAGTGTGGTTCAACGTATATAGGAGAAACTGGAAGAATTCTGAATGTTAGAAAGAAAGAACACCTGGCTAACAAAAGACGAGGAAACGTGTTATCACCGTAGGGCAAACATAGAATTGAGGCACACGATGGTGACGATTTTAGCGTGAAGTGTACAATTTTAGCGCAGGAGGTCGAGATTTCAGCACGAAAAATGCTAGAGGCCGCGTTGATCTACGCCGGAAATCCGGGCATGAACAACAAAAATGTGCGCGTGACGATAACGACTGATCTCTTGCCTCTTATGTCATTATGTGACCTTAACCCGCACAGTATATATAGTCCTTGACTCACTGAGCAACTTCAGTGATGTCCGTCACATCCGTGCGGACTACTAACTCCAAGGTGTATTAGAGGATGGCTGGTGAAACCAATTTGGATTGTTTCTCGGCACGTTGCGCCCACATGAGGTTCAAACGATGGAAATCTGATGAGGCGTTTGGTCGTATAGACTAACAGACAATACCACCGCAGTTCCTTTTCAGACCTCCGAAGAAGACGATATTAGTCGAAACGTAAGGTCAATAAAGATCCACCACAAACCTGGTTGGCAGAAGAACAATACACGTATAGAAGTTATAAATTTCTAAATTTGGTGCGGACGAACTTTCGGTACAACCTTACATATCTTCTCCTTTATCCTCGTCATTGTCCCGCGGGGGCAGGGTCGGCGGTGTTGCATTTGTGTTTCCATTTGACAGCTTTTTCAGCTGCTTCTTGTGGTATGAGCTTCGCAATGTGCAGGTCGGTACTCAGGTCGCTTCGAATGGTGCCAACCAGCGTTGCTTCGGCCATGTAGTCTTCTTCCCTGTGGATCTAGACGAAGTGCTATTTTCGATACTTTATCATCTTCACATCGTAAAACGTGGCCATACATCGTAATCTGGCACCTCGCATCTTATCCGCGATAAGTGCCAAATGTGCCGCACATCTGTGTTCGGGACGCAGTTTCTTCGCGTTAGGCCGAGTATCCATCTTATCATTCGCATCTTCAACGTACTCAGGATCTTCTCGTGTTTCCTAGTTGCCGGCCAACATTCTGCTCCCTACAAGGCAAGTGGCCGTACCACAATCCGATATACTTTTGATTTGAGATATAATGGAATTCGGCGATCGCGGAGTACTTCTGTCACTTGACGCCACGGGCAATCTAATGACGATGCCGAGGGCAATACTCAAGCGGTGGAGCGAATACTACGAGGGTTTTTGTAATGAGGAATTCCCGCGTCCGCCAGTACCGCAAGGAACGCTCACATTCGGACCGGTACCTCGAATCGAGAAGACTGAATTTGCGTGGGCATTGAAGAAGATGTCTAACGGTAAAGCCCCGGGACCTGATGACGTACCTGCGGAAGTATGGAAGATGACGGGACAACGTGGAATGGCTTATCTTACATCGCTCTTTAACCGGATCATCATTGATGGGCAGGTGCCGTGAATCTGGTCTACGAGTGTCACAGTCCCTATCTTAAAGAATAAGGGCAACGTCAGCGATTTCAACATATCGGTTGATACGGTTGCTGTGCCACACAATAAAGATTCTCGAGCGAGTCATCCACGCACGCATCCGAAGTAACGTCAAAGTCACCCCGAATCAATGCGGTTTCGCAAAAGGATCTGGAATCATCAACGCCATCCATGCCGTGCGACTGTTAATGGAGCGCCTCTCGGAGAAGCAGATTCCGATTCATTTCGCGTTTTGGACATGGAAAAGGCATTTGGCGGATGCCGCACGAGCTGATCTAGTGTGCACTGAGGCAGCACAACGTCCCAGAAGAATATGTCTGCTGGATCAAACTTCTTTACGCGAACACGACGGGGGCTGTACGCTGTGCAGTGGGAACGTCAATGCAGTTAAGGATCGGCTCTATCAACACTTCTCTTTATACTGTGCATGGATATGATGACGGATGGAAAAAAGGATCAAATGGAAACACAAATGCAACACCGCCGATCCTGCCCCCGCGGGACAATGGCGAGGATAAAGAAGAAGATATGTAAGGTCGCACCGAAAGTTCGTTCGCACCAAATTTAAAAATTCATAACTTCTAATTTTTTCAACCGATTATATCGCTTTTATTTTTGTACGAAAGAGTAATTCATGCTCTTTATAAAGACATCTTAGGTGCTTACTAATGATCATCTGTTGCATGGATAGGAGCGGTAGAAGAAAATTAGTCAAAAATTGAATTTTCTCTGTAGGGTCATAAAAAATCGCAAACTTGCAACTTGTCACACTCACTGCCCGCACGAAAAACGGTCAAGAGCCGCGACTTTTCTGGCTGTCACCGGCTCAAAACTCAAATTTATGCTACGCGGTCTTCAAAAAGCATCAGACAAACTGTATTAGCTTACTAGCTATTTCGAGTTGCTATTTGCTGAGTTCAACAACTTTTGCAAAATGACTACGAAATTGCCTTTAACCGCATTTTCGTAAGTTTTTCGCATCCAACATTTTCATTCTGAATCGAATTCGAAGCAATGAAACTTAATACCCACTGTGACTATCTAATTATCTCTTCTGAATTATAAAATATCTAAAACGTCATAAAACACTGAAGATGTGCCATTTGCTGTCCAGCTGGCGAAAAAATCGCGCCTCTTGACACACACCCAAAGGGACGGGGGGCAAAGAGCTGCTTTGCAATTTGCACAGTGCTTCACTGATGAAAAATCAGAGAAGGCCGGATGGTAGTAGTATGGACGGATGATGAAATAGCCAGTAGGCATTAACACATCGCAGCTCTACATAGACTTAAAACAGCGAGATAACGAAAAGGACAACTCGCAAGCAACGTGTCTCGAGGTACCCCACGAATGTTACCTTGCAAGCAAATTTCTTGTTTCTGATTTCTTGATGTGCTTTGATTTGTTTTTTCGGAGCTACTAGTCCTCCTTTTTACATGTTAATTTTGCTTGTCTGCTCACAGGGACGAGCGGGCAAAGGGCTGCTTTATAATTTCAGCGCTTCAGTGAAAAATCAGAATAGGCCGGGTAGTAGTGTTATGGACGGATGATGGAATTAGCCAGTAAGCATCTACGCATCACAGCGTCTACATAGACTTAAGACAGCGAAACGACGAAAAGAACAATCCGCAAGCTTGCGAGGCAACATTCGTGGGGTACCTCGAGACACGTTGCTTGCGAGCTGTCCTTTTCGTCATTTCGCTGTCTCAAGTCTACGAAGGCGCTGTGATGTGTAGATGCTTATTGGCTAATTCCATCATCCGTCCATAATACTACTACCCGGCCTATTCTGATTTTTCACCGGAGCGCTGAAATTATAAAGCAGCCCTTTGCGCGCTCGTCTCTGTGAGCAGACAAGCAAAATTAACATGTAAAAAGGAGGACTAGTAGCTCCGAAAAAACAAATCAAAGCACATCAAGAAATCAGAAACAAGAAATTTGCTTGAAAGCAGTAAACGACATGATGTATAGTCAAACTTGTGTATAACCCTTACATAGTTGGTGGCAGTGGATGCTTCACATCTAAAGCACTTTTGTATCAGTTCCCCTAAGGTGCATTGGAGAATAAGTTAAGAAAGAGTTTTTTACCCCGGTATCTTTACACTTGCAGAATTTCAGTTGCGTTGACAGCAGAACTAAACAAGTCTAATTGATATAATAACTCGAAGAAATTGCAATGTTCTGTTCTGAAAGGTTATAAAGCTCAAAAGGAAAGATTTCTTTTGCTCTCTTGCAACATTGAATATCACCACAATATCACCAGAGTGACTGCGTAAATTTTAGATCAGTTATGAAACTCAAACCTTTCAAAAACACGAAAAATCCTCATAACGTTTTGAGGGGAAGATAGGTACTAAAAGGGG